CTTTGTTTATGTCTGATGTTATGTCTTATGTTTGATGTCATGTTGATGCCCATCATGTCCTGTGTCTGGTATTCATGTTGCGATTTTGATGTCTGGGAGCGTTTGTATTATTCCTTTCGAATGGCCCGCCTGTTCTATCTGCCGTATGCTCGTCATGACATGAGCAGTGGCAGAGGAAGAAGGTATACCCGGTTATGTGATTCGATGTATTTCCTTGTCCTGGTTTCCTTTATCTTACCCCAATTCCCCTTGAGTTACTTCTTTTCTCCCTTCGCGTAGTAGGGTGCCGTTACCCACTTTCATCCATCTTGTACCTTGTGTGTTATCTTCATGGATACCTACCTCTGTTTGACCACCTTTGATGATTCCCCTTGCTGCTGATCTTCGTATTGTTCAACCAACCATTGGTGACGGAGCCATGGAATGAGATGTGTTCCTAGCGACGATGTCTCCATACTACCTTGTTTTGTTTTTCCGTGCTTCCAGTTCTAGCGATTGTTTCAATACCCTTGATGTTTACCTTTACCCATTATCGATTACCCCCTAGCGAAAATACAGTGAAAACAAACATACCATCCTTACAAATCAGCTATAAGAACATTATCTTTTCCATACATAAGTAGTATATAGAGTATATGTTTTACCGCCATCCACATTAATACTATCTTATCCACAGAGTAGTTCTATACCCTGACCCTTCCATTCAGCTATCACCTGTCACCCAAACACATTTGAATAAGATGCAGACAGACGCCAAACTCTTCGAAAAATTTCATCTTAATCTAATAATTTTGATCAAGCAAATAATACGGTGCCCATATCCCAACCCCAACCCTTACACAGTACTATCATACGATACGATATCATCATCTAACTCATGTCCTCAGCACCAACGCAAAATACGCAAAAAGCCGATACACAGCAATAATCCCCACCAGAATGCCCACCCACTTCCCCGTCCTGCCCGTAGCATACCCATACTCCTGAAGTACGCCCGTCCCCCGGATCTTGCACTCACTGGCCAAGTCCGTCTGATACATGCATTGGCAGGAGTCACCGCAGGAGTAGATTCTATGTTGGAATTCGTTGACCATCATGCCTTGGAAGACGTATGCCTATTACCATTATTAATATTGAATTAGTGTGTGTGTTGGGGTGTAGGTGGGGATTTGGGGGAGGGGTACCTGATAATCAATGTAGTGGAAAACATATTTCCAGAACGGGTTAAGGATCTTGGGCGCGACGAGGAACCCGCCGACACTCATCCAGAGGCCGTTGGCGAAGGCGACGAGAGCGAGGGAGATGACGAAGTTGGGGAAGATGGAGGTCATGAAGACGACGAGGGATTCGGCTGCGACGAGGTCCAGGAAGAGCCACATTACCCAGGTAAAGAAGGAGGTGGCGGTGGGGTTGAAGTTGGAGAGCCAGTAGGAGATAATGGAAAAGAGGAGGGAGATTATGACTGTACTATTTGTCAGTGGGGTGGAGTGAAATAGTGGGCGGGAAGGGGTGATTTACAGAGGAAGGGCAGGCCGATGATGAAATTGGAGACGATGAAGGGGAGAGCGCCGTAAAGGCCGTTGGCGCGTTCTTTTATGAAGGTCATGCGGTCTTCGATGAAGGCCGGGACGTAGGCTACGGCCATGAAACTCATGAAGGCGGAGCCGAAGAACTGGTGAGGATGGAGATATTAGTTGTGCTGTTCTAGTTGGAGGGTCTGAGTTAGTGAGAGCAGGCTTACGATTGCGTTGATAAAGGGCTGGATGTAGCTCTGTTCGGTGTGCAGACGCAGCCAGACGGTTCCCATCATGATTGCCAGCCCTAATGGATCGGTCAGTTTTGTATCTGCCTCGTTGGAGATTTTTGATATACGCACCCAGGTACATGACGATACGGATGCCATATGCCACGACATCACGGTAACTCTTGATGAAGGAGCGGTGCAAGAGAGTAAGAGTGATGCTGAGAATGCCTGGGCGACTTAGCTCGTCCATGTCGAGTTTCGCCGACTGCTTCTCGGATAAGACGGTCCGCTGCGAGACCTGCTCTGCTAGCGCTGCGGCGTTGGAGGACTCAGTCCAGCTTGTATGAATCCGCTGGACCTGATCCTTGGACATGGCGTGTGTGCTGCCTGCAAAGTCGGAGCTGACAAGATCGAGGATGAACTCGGCCGGGTTGGTGTTAATTGGAAGCGAATAGCCAATGCTGTCGAAATAGGTCGGCACTTCTGTGACAGGACCGAAGTAGCACGTTTTCCCGCTCGAGAGGAGAAGCAGCTTATCGAAAAGCTGGAATGTAGTTGTGGATGGCTGGTGGATACTGGCTATAATGATGAGCTGCGAGACGTTAGTAATTGCAGGTCACCGAATGGAATAGACGTACGTTGTTTGCAACCGCCATCTCTTTAACGTAGGAGATGACCTCGAAACTAGCCGATGAGTCCAGTCCGCTGGTCGGTTCATCCAAGAACAGGATCTTAGGGCACGTCATGAGTTGACTCGCCACGCTAACACGCCGTTTCTGACCACCACTGATTCCCTTGCGAATGGGCGTGCCAACCAAAGTGGATGCCTGATTCTGGATTCCGAATGCCTGTAGAAGGGAGTGAATGCGCTCTTTCCGTTGAAATTTCGTAACCGAGCTAATTCATTAGTATCACCGCCAATTAACACACTCTTGGATAATACACACCTGGGCAACGAGAGATCTGCGGCGAACTTCAGTGTCTCGCGCACCGTCAACGACCCGATCAGTGCATCCTCCTGCTCCACGTAAGAAGTGAGCCGACCAAATGTCGCATTATCGACCGTCTTTCCATCTATATAGCAATCTCCAGTAGTCTTTGCTCCCGACGATGCTGCGCGACGAGCCAAAACGTTGAGTAGAGTAGTCTTGCCGCATCCCGAGGGACCCATCAGAGCGACTAGTTCGCCTGTTTCATTGATAGAGTTAATCGGGTGTTCATCCGGGATGGGTACATAGAGTTCCGGGAAGTAACCACCAACCTTGCTGGACTGACCCGCTGATCCCATCGATCAGATTCCGGGGCTGTTTGGTATGGCGGTCCTTGACGGTGACGGTGAGATCGCGCCAGGAAAAGTTGTTGACGGTATTGTTTTTGAAGAAGCCGGTGGCTTCATTGCGCTCGAGGTCAGAGCCATCGAGTTTAGATGAGAGGTCATCCATTTTCTGTGGTCTGAAAGGGAAAAAAAATGAGGTCTATAGTATTGTAGCTGATGGTGGGAGAAACCTTAGAGTCTGGGAAAGTCTCAAGGAAAAAATAGTAGAAGGCTTCACAATGTCACACTTCTAATCATGCCTCGCTATTCTGGAATAGTAGTCAGAATAGCGCCTAGTAGTAGCAAATTGTAGAGCAGAATTAAAAATCAGAAAAGATAAGAAAGAGGTGGGACAGGCGAAGTAAATAAACGACTCACAGACCACTGCAACCGAACCCCGGTCCGGTCACAAGGGGAGGGACAGCGAGACGCAGCTAGTCTCCAGCACATTGCAGCAGCATCCATCATAGTGAGAAAGAGCAGCAAATGCCATGTGGAAGGTAAAGAGGGTGACATCTCCGAGCTTCTCGTGCGTGTTGCTTTCGCTGCCACACTTTGGGACCCGAGATGAGAGGCTTCTTGGTTCAGGTCCCCGAAGCCCGCACAACAGGTCGCCACTTCTCACCTCCAAGCCCGAGGACGGCGTCTTCGCTCGTTCGCAACGATCATGAGCTGGCTGAGCCACGATTATGTGAACCATCTCGATAAGTAAGTTAGATAGTCTAGTTAGTCTAAGTTAAACCATTAGTTTGTTGTTGGGCGGGTGGATCGCCGTCGGGGGTCCACCCTGGAGAATGGAGAAAAAGAAGGGAAAGCTGAGAACGCCGTTCATCTGCTGAACCGAACGAACGCCTTGTGGGTAGGAAAGAGAAAGAAAAAGAAAAATGAAAAATGACCCAAATAAGCAAGCATAGGGGAACTATTAGCGATGAACTGGAGATGGAGATAAATCATGGGAGGTGATTGGTGGCATTCTTCTCCAGACCCTGGACAGGATTTCTTATCAGCTCCTGCTATTAAGTGAACTACTAAGGTAGTAACTAGTCGCACTTACTTAGTCTGGCCAGCTGAACCATCCTCATCCTCATCATCATCATCATCCATCAGGCTGAAAGATGTACCCCCCTCCTCTTTTCCCTCCAATTGGATAATCTTTACTATCAGCAGTAACTACTACTAGTAAATACTACTACATGATAATACTACTGTTTTCAGCCCCGCCATGTCATCAAAGACCTACTGCTATATTTCCCCTCCTTCCCATGCATGTGAGGAGAACATACTATTACTATTACCATTATCGCCCATTAATCATCTAATCGAGTAACTAGTTACCTCTCTCCCAGTAGTACAGTTAGATCCAATCTAAATTCATACATAACATCATAACAAACAATGTGATATGTCCCTCTCTGTACCTGGCTGGCATCACATCTTGGTGTAACGGTCGCTTGTCGATCCCCTACCCGCTCCGTCCTAGTCTAACCTGCACAATGCAATTCATCCTCACTTCATCACCACTCCTCGTTTCTTCCCCCATCACGCAGGTGGAGGCTTTTGTTTTGACTTTTGAGTTTGGCGGCGGAAGATTAAATCTGCGATCGGAGGTGGAGGTGGCTTCTTACTGTAATAGGATTGTCTGCCTACTTATTGAACGGAATAATAATGTGCATCTCGCGTTAGTTTTTCAAGGATGTGCCAGATACGTGTGGGTAAAATAATTTGTGCTACAGTGAGTGTAAGACAGGTGTGTGTGATCACAGCGAGCAGATCTGCTTGCGTGGCACCTCATGAGAGCCGCGCCTGGTCGGTCCGGATGGAAACACGCCCTCACTTGGAATGGCGCTATACTGAAATTACGATGGATTGCTTTGTCTTCTAGATTCGCTTTCAGGGACTGCTTTTGATGATCGTTGTAGATTAGACTCGAGTCATCTATTCCTCCAATGATACTCTAAAAATTAAAAGCTAATACAAATGCTTCCAGCATTCTGCCAGAGTCCAGAACGGGAAACCCTCACGCAGCCTCATTACTAGATAAGGCCCAACACCTCGACATAGTTAGCTATCAAGAGACCGCTTAGTCGCTGCAGGAAGCGCCCGAGGGGACGTTCTTGCACTTGCTGCTCTTCTTGCCGCCAGTCACATCAACACCGCTCCAGGTCCAGTTCGAGCAGCTGCCGGAACCGCACAGGATGTAGATGTCAGTACCAGAGCTCTTGACACTGCCGGTCACCTTCTTGAAAGTGATGTCCTCAACCTTGACACCGTTTGTGGGCTTGCCGGTGGGGCTGCCGTTCTCGTAGTCCTGCTCAACGACGATACCGTACTTGCTGATGTCGGACAGGGTGATGTCCTCGAACTTGACGTTCTCGACAGTGCCGGTCTTGCCGTAGATGGTCTTGATACGGACACCGTTCTGGGAGTTGAGCACCTTGGAGTTGGAGATGGTCACGTCGCTGACGGTGTTGTCGCTGCGGCCACCGATGGAACCAATGGAAAGACCGTGGCCACCGTCACAGTAGCCGTTGGTGAAAGTGATGTGCTGTGTTCTAGTTAGTTTCCGATATTTTGCAGCTTCTGGACAGTGACAGTTCTTTTGCGACAGCATATATACATACCTCACCCGAGTTGATGGCCAGGCAGTCATCCTGGTTGTAGACGGTGGCACCGTCGATGGTGATGTAGGTACTCTGACCAATGTCAAAGGCATCGGTGTTGTGGCCCTTGCTCGTACCGGCGGAGTTGTCGATGGTCACGTCGGTGATGGTCAGGTGGTCGGCCAGAATGCTGAAGCCCTGGACAGGGGTGTTGTAGATCTTCAGGCCGGTGATGGTGGACTCGTCGAGCTTGTGGGCCTTGAAGAACTTGGGCTTGGTCTTGCCACCGTTGCTACCCTTGCCGTCCCACCAGCGAGCACCGTCGCAGTTGATCTTGGCACCGGAGGCCTGCTTGACGGTGATGTCGGTACCGGACATGGAGATCAGGGGACCCTTCCATTCCTTGTAGCCGAAGGTGGTTTCACCCTCGAAGATGACCTGTGAGGGGAGAGAATTAGTGGGTCCGAGAAGGACGAGAAGAGACTCAAGGGAGCGAGGGAAGACGTACGGTAGTACCCTTCTTGAGGCCAGTCAAGTCAAGAGTCTCACCGGCGGGGACCGCGATGTTGTCGAGGGTGATGGTGGAGCAAGAGGACTTGCCAGACTTGGCAGCAGAGGCGGAGGTGAAAGTGCAGGAGCGCTTCTCAAGAGGAGCAGCGGCGGCCAGCGCAGCGCCCATAGTGGCGGCCACGAAAGCGTTCTGGAGGAAATGCATGGTGAAAACGAAGGAATGAAACCTGGATCAACCGGGTACAAATAAGGAAGGACTAGAGAGAAGCTGGGAAAGGAAAGTGAAGAAAGAGAGACTGAGAGCGTGATGAGGGAAGAAAAGACCAGCCATGGAGAGGGATGCAAAGAGATCTATAAGTAGGTTTTTCGCTCGACTCGTTGTGCCCTCCACTCATCCCCTTTTCTTGGATATAACGGCGATACATCGGAAGTATGAGAATTGGTTCAGGACCCTGGAAGCCACATCGAACGATCGAAGGAACCCGCTGGAGACGGCGGTTTGAGGATGAAATGAAGTGGGCATCTAGACTTGCACGGAACAGGAAGGAAGGCTAGCCAAGCTCGCTAAGCTCGAAGAAAGACAGGGTCCGATGGGTCCCAAAAAGGCAGTAGCGCCCAGTAGTTGGACCAGCGCGCCTTCCCCACTAGGAAACCTTTAGGCATCCGGGTTTTTGCTGCTTTCGTCGCCATCCCGAGACACTCCTTTATTATACTTTCTATTGTTTTCTTATCGATCGCATTAGCTATCACCTAAGGTAGGAATCCTCGGCAGTTGGTTTCTTTGCCGACATTTTCTTTCTCTACTGATGAGAAAAAGAGAGCAATACAGTTATAAACAATTGACATAGTATGGTTCTCGGGAACACCCTCAGGATCGGCAGCATTGGCATCTCGCCGATCCCTAGCCCTACTGCCCTAAGAACTCTCGGCCTCCGCGGCAACCGAGGCGGATACATTAAAATCTTCAACCAAGCCCACTGAAACGAGAATGAACCCAACTCCATAGTTCTCACCCTGAAACAAGCGGATCATGTTGCTAATCCATATTAACCAGGGGTTCGTTCGCTGACAGGTTCTGCACAGGATACTAACGCCAAGCTTCCATATTATCCTCCTTCCACCACGCGCTAGGCAATCTGTTTGGCACTGGATCCCCTCCAATATCAACCACTGGATCCCCTCCAATATCAACCACTGGATTCGAGGTTATTGATTAATTTCAGGCCATAGTCACTGGGAGCTCGGATATTTCGGAGATTTTTCTCAGAGTTTTTCCCACAGCAATAAATTAATGTTCCCCTGGTACTAATGTAGCGCGTCTAAGACGCTTCAATTGAGGGTTGTCTCACGATAACTATTGTTTGCCGCTACCCGCTAACATATGACTACCATGTTTTTACCGGCATTGCCGGAGGAGCAACAGTATTTCAGTCGAGACTTTGAGCCCACAGTTTTCCTATAATAGCCAAATTGCTTCCCCTCAAACAGGAAGTCATCTTTCCCGAAGCTGTCACTTTCAGCCACCGACTAGTTAATTCGAGACAGCCAGATGCTCTACATGGCTAGTGTATTTGACTGAATATGTCGGGGCTCAGCAAACTTCAAAAGTGAACCTCGAGACGAGGGATGGAATGCAAAATAGCTGGTCTGCAACGGTCAATTCAATTTCCAGATATACAGGGACCATAAGGCAATCTCCTTCTAGCATTCTTAACTTGATTGCAGATACCTTAACTGGCTAGTCTCTCAAGCCTTGCGCTTACAAATGCAAGCCACAATGGATCCCTTGTCGCACCATAAACTAACCGGTCAATCGTCCGTGCTTGGTGGTTATGGCTCTACTATCACACATCCCGTATAGTATACGAGTAGACTCGACCATTGTAATTGACAAAAATGAGCCCGGGCAACCTTGTCAACAACAAAATAGTTATAGACGTCAGAAAAATAGAGGCTGCAGGCCAGAGAACAATTTGCCTTTGAAAGCACCTAATACTACCGACTGATGCCGACTAAGCCTCTGATGACATATGGAATTGCTCCACTAAACATACCGCCTCAAGCACTATTGTACAGCAGCCAAATCACACCACACTCCTTTGCGTATCTTCAATATATACTTCTGGAACCCCATTCCCCACTACCTGACACTAGGTACCTGCCGGCCAAGTTAGCACATTCCTTCATCTGGACTAATCAAGGAAGTTCGCCCCTGAAGCACACCACTATATACCCGGATATATATTGAAGCATGCTAGACAGTTACTTGCAATGGATACTCGGGATAACTACTCAGACCAAGGTATTAAGCGCTAGGAAGCGAAGAACCTACAAGGGTATTCGAAGGTTCCGTTTACCCGAGAAGCCAACTAATAACCCTCAACGCGAGTCAGACAGTGTCTAATAAGTCATATATAAATGAATCAGGAACCTGGAAGACTTTATGGGGCCAATTTTGCCCTGATTAGCTTGGTCTCCTGGTGGAGTAGGTAGTATGCTGTCAATTCCTGTTCCGGACTGCGAGCTGGAATCTGTTCTTACGTGGGGGGGAAAAACGTATTCGTAAATTCATGACTGGGTTATAGAAGGGCTAAGGGCGTTATCATTATGAGAAGAGCAATATAGGGAATGTATTATAGCAGTCTTTCTATCTGGACACTGTACAGATATACAGTTGCTAGGAATGTTAGATCACTCCTTATGCTACGAGTCATGTCTCACCTACCTACTTGACTACTTACAATAGCTATGCTCGCATAGGAAAATAGAAGGATAAATGCATGCATATAATACCAAGCACCTGCATATGAATCTATCAATCCAGTATATATGTCCACTCTTCCACCGGAATCCAGATAATATTCCACAAGGGCATATACCCATCCGATAAGTAGTGCTTTCTGTTTCCTTGGTATCTGGATTGACTCTTACTTTTCTTCAGAGCTGAGTGGCTACAGTGAAGCGAAAATTTTGCTGTGCACTGAAATTCTGGTTTCACTTAGTATGTTTGATAGTAGAAAGTAAGTTGGCTTCCGTAGCATCATACTTAACTATCCATTGAAGCATTGTAGTCTTCCTACTCGTTACATGAGGTTTCTTTACCTCTCATTGGTATCCTTGCAGAGTACTTGATAGTAGTACTTTATCTATGTCGATTATTTACTTGGTAGTTACTATATACTTACAAGTAATGTTCAGTTGGTATTCACTTTAGGCACATTCACCTCAACCAACATAGTAGATATATACACAGTCCGCTATCATGCTCCCAAGTGAATTTTCAAACATGATAAATCACAATTTCAGGTCGAATCAACGCATGAAATAACAGTACAACACTATAAAGAATACTCTACCAGCCTATACCCACTTGATCATATAACAAAAATCTGTACTCATACTTATCAAAAACAAAAACACTATGATCACTCTCCATTGCATCCCAACCAACCACGTGATCCAGTCAAGTCCTGAACAATATTTAGTTTTACACGATATGAAACTATTACTAACCAAAACTACTGTAAGAAACCCAAAATAAACTTTTCGCAGGAATCCCGAAGATCTGGTAAGTCTACGACCTGCAAAAAGCAAAAAGCAAAGCCGATCACGTTGACTTAGTCCCCGAGGCCGAGAGTCCCCACTGGTGGTTATGTTGGTTCCCGGGGACGGCGTCTACTTAGAAGTTACATACCCGCTCCGCTCGGGTGGCTGCCTTGCGGGAATTATGGTTTTGAGTTTCGGTGATTGTTTCAAGGGGATCTAGACACTAGGACGCCGATGTGATCTGATATTCGGACGAGACTGTCGATCAGATCGGGGTTCATGGGGCGGAGTATTATCCCGGCTTAAAGATGACTACTTTTTGTTTCTAACACCTACGGTGTGATTGATAGTCTTTCGGGTGTGATGTGAACGCTGAAAAAGATGCTTGGTATTTGGTCACACTAAATGTATATCTTTTATGGTCGCTTCCATTACATACTAGTGACTCATTAGTACTGTGTATAATAAAGCGAGAATGAAGCTTGACGTACCGGTTGACAGGGCTGAGACCCAGGATGCGCATACCGTTGTGCAGCACCTGGCGGGCGGACTCGTACAGAGCCATACGGGCCTTCTTGAGCTCAGGCTCGCTACCAACAACCTTGAGCACATCGTAGCTGGAGCTGAGCACGTGGGTCATGCGGAACAGGTAGGTGAGGATGGTAGTGGGCTCCAGAGTGCGGTTCGTGTTGAGCAGCACATCGGGCCACTGGGCGAGGAGACGAGCAAGGTCGGTGGCGTGGGTCTCGGTCAGGAGGCTCAGGTTGGCGGTGTCGAGCTCGTCGACGTTCAGGCCGGACTTGCGCACAATGGAGCAGAGACGGGCGTGGGCGTATTGCAGGTAAGGACCGGTGTCACCCTCGAACGAGGTCATGGCATCCAGGTTGAAGTCGTATCCGTTGATACTGCAAATTTATTAGCAACTAGAGACTACCATGGGGGGATGGGATATACATACCGCTTTCCGGTCATGTCCTGCACCATGACGGAGGACATACCAAGGATGTCGGCAGTGCCCTCAGGGTCGGCGACCTGCTCGTACTTCTCGGTGTTCTTCTTCATGACCTCGTGCATCTTATCACGGACATCCTGGAGGATGTCGTCCAAGAACTTGACGGTACCCTTACGGGTGCTCATACCGCGCACCATACCGAAGTTGATGTGCTGGCAGCGGTTGGCCAGATCCTTGTAGCCCATGAGCTCAGTGATCTTGAACAGCTGGGCCAAGTGGAGATCCTGCTGAGCGGCAACGACGTAGATCATCTTGTCGAACTTGTAGGCCTCCTCACGCTCGAGGATGGCTCCGATATCACGGGTCAGGTAGAGAGGAGTGCCGTCCTTGCGGACAATGATGGCCTTTCCAAGCTTCTTGGCACCGTGCTTGGTGAAGTCGACGATGACAGCACCCTCGGACTTCTCGGACACGCCGGCCTTCTCCATGGTTTGGTAAGCGGAGGTCATGCTCTCTTGCTTGATCTGAGACTCTCCAGAGTAGACGTCAAAGTCAATGTTCAGACGAGCATAGGTCTGTCTGTACTTCTCGATACTGAGCTCACGGAACCGGCGCCAGAGAGCAAGAGCCTCCTGGTTACCATCCTCCATGCTCTTGAAGTAGCGGCGAGCGTTCTCGTCCTCGCTGGCATCGACAAGCTTGGCAAGCTCCTTCTCCTGCTCGGCGGCGTCCTCACCTTTCTCCTTCTTGGCCTTGATCTGCTCCTTGAGCTCCTTGATGGGGCCCTCCTGCTCGGAGACGATGCCGTTGATCTTGACGTAGACGTTGAACAGGTGGTTGATAGGGTCCTTGGTCAGCTCCTCCTCGCTACCGAACATCTTGAAACCATTGGCAAGCAGACCGTACTGCTTACCCCAGTCACCAAGGTAGTTCATCTTGATGACGTCCCATCCCATGACCGTGTAAAGGTTGGCGAGGAAACCACCAATGATGGTACTGCGCAAGTGACCAGCGTGGAAGGGCTTGGCGATGTTGGGAGACGAGAACTCGACGATGATGCGCTTGCGACCCTTGGAGGGGTCGGCGGGGTCGCGCAGACCAACGTTGCCATTGGTACCAAAGGCAGACTTCTCCTTCAAGATACGGCTAACGACGTTCTTGGTGAGGCGCTCCGGGCGGAAGAAGAACTGCATGTGAGGGCCGAAGGCAACGGGGGGAAGGATGAGGTCGGACTCGGGGAACTTCTCGACGAGTTCCTTGCACAGCTCCTGGGGGTTCTTCTTGATCTGAAGGGAGGGGACCTAGAGATAACATACTACGTTAGCTGATGTCAAATGGCCCAATGGAAGTAATCCAATTGTATTTTTATGGTCGCGTACCGGCAACACCAGGTCACCCTTGTCCAACGAATTCGTCCATGCGATGCGGGAGAAGATCTTCTCCGCGTCCAAGCCGGTGATCTTGGCCAGCTCCTCGGCAATGTGCTCTCTGTAGACGTCGACGGGATTCAGGGAGGGGAAGCAGTTGGGGAACTTGGAGGTCTCGGAGGTCGACTGAATAGAGAGTCCCTCAACGGAGACAGCGAGGTCGGAGGCGGACGTCATGGCGGCAGCTTTGTTCTTCAAAAGCGACGCAGAGGAAAAAGACGAGCGCCAGGGATTTAAAAGAGGCGAAGAAAAAGCACCGCGGGCGCAGGAACAGCGACTATTTTGTGTGTAGTATGAGCGGACAGACTGGAAAATGCCGCTGGAAAATCGGCGTGCCCCGCTTACCAGATGGCGACCCATAAATGGAGGGGAATCGAGAGCCTCGCTTTGGAGGGGGACTTTTTTTCTTTGCTCTTTAGCCTCCATTCGGCAATCGCCCATACTGCCCGGGCGGTGAGTACTCCCTCATGACTCATCGAATGCCATCACGTGATTCTAGATCATCTGACTGCTGCTAACCCTGATCTCTCCCCTTCTCTCTCAAACCCTCATTTATGTCATGTGAGCGGATATGAGACCACCCCCTTCTCTGACGTCACGGTTCTTTGCAGCGCCAGCAACGCAACCTCGTGTCCCAAACCTGGCCATTCTTCTCTTAATTCCACATTAAGCCTCCAAACAGCCATGTCCCATCATCAACGATCTATTCCGTTCTCTATCATCGATATCCTCCGCGGCCATGGGTAGTAGTCGTCGTCAAAAGGCCCTATCCAAGTCTATCCAACTCGCCCTATTCCGCGACCCAGCTACCTTTCGGAAGACCCTCATAGGGCGCATCCTAGCCTTCTTTAGCATCTTCTACATCAAGCTCTTCCGATATGGGAGCAATCTGTTTCGAAAGCTGCGCAGCGAGACATGGGAGATCGACGAGAATGAGTACAAGGCGAGCTTCCGAGATGAGAAGAAGACTGTCCCATTGAAGCCAATGGGCGATCTTGGAATGTCAGGATCGGTATGAACACAATCAGAAGGTCATGGAAATTTCTGGTGTACTAATTGTATGCTTTGATAGACCTTCTTCCAGACCTCCAATGGCAAGTTTCTCGTCAAGAGCCTCCCCCGACACTTTGAACATTCCTTCTTCCGTGAGGATCTGCTCGAGCCATACTACGAATATATGAGTGCCCATCCCGATTCTTTATTGGTATGGATTACCGACTATGTGTATGCGCCGTATCAGACGGTCGGGAGCCTTATAGGGTCCACGCCAGCCCATCACATCATCATGGATAATATCTTGTACGGGAAAACCGAAGACCCGAAAGCAGATCAATGGGAGAAATACGACCTTAAACCCATTGACTATTTCTATCCAGAGCGGGACTTGGTGCCAGAGCCGCTGGTTAACGAAGATACGCTGCGGAAGCTTGCTGACCAATTTGACGACAAAATCCGGCTGTCGCAAGATCAATGCGAGTCTCTGAAGCAAGTCTTGGAAGCTGACACGGACTTTCTCCGCTCGTCTAATGCAGTTGATTACTCTCTTTTCCTCGTACGGTTTCCGGCCTCCTCGCAGCCCGAGGTTATTGGTAGGCATGCTCCGTGGCGCATCGGCGTAGAGTCTGCAGATGGCAAATGGAAGTATCGTGCCGTGTTGTTGGATTTCTTCTGGGCAAGACACAAATTGCACGCCCAAGCCATGACGGGGGTAATTCAGACATTCAATGTCATTGGTCGCCAGGGGCCAATGACAATTACGACGACGGCCGACGAATACCAACAGAAGTTTCTGGCTATGGTGGACTCGATGGTGGAAGTACAGTGGTCTTGATAGACGTAATCATACAATACCTAAAAAGATGTTGTTTGACGCACGCGCGCTCTGCGATTAATATCATGTATGTTGTATCCGAAATGGAAATTCTTGGTCTTCTCGCATTGACTCATGACACCGTTTATCAAGCACCCAGATGACCAACGGTCGGCCCGTAGCGGGCTTTTCTATCGACAATCTATCAATTACCGGAATCTGTGAGGCAGAGACAGTCTATGTCATCTGCCAATTCGCTCAAAGAAGTCATCTCTCATTGCTGCCTTAGAAGCAGAAGATCTGGTCCTCGAGCTTGCTGACGGGACGAGCCTTGGTGTATCCGAGAGACTCGGTAGCCTTCTTCATGGCGCTAACCATGGGAGGAGGACCGCAGAGCAGGATCTTGATGTCGCTAGCGGGGGCGGGAAGGCGCTCCTAAAGGGTTTAGTTAGTGGACCATGCTGGAAGACACTGACGGGAGATTCAACAAACCTTGATCATGTCAGGGGTGACGAAACCAACACCACCGGTCCAGCCCTCAGGGGGGTTGTTGAGGACGTAGTAGATGCGGAAGCCGTCGTCCTCCTTGGCCAGCTGCTCGAGCTCTTCCTTCATGAGGATGTCGTCGGGGTTCACGTTGGCGAAGATCAAGTCAACCTGGGTGGTGTCGTTTCCACCGTTACGGGGACGGTTGCGGATAATAGCCTTGATGATCTGGTACATGGGGGTGATACCAGTACCACCAGCGATCATACCAATGTGACGGCACATGTTGGGAGTGTACACCATGGCGCCCTTGGGGCCACGGACCTTCATGGTCTGACCAACCTCCAGGGTGGTCAAGTACTTGGAGATGTTACCCTGGGGGTAGGCCTTGACGAGGAGATCGAAGTAACCAGCCTCGTTGTCGGAGGAGATGGGGGTGTAGGAGCGAACAACCTCCTTACCGCCAATGGTGGCGGCAAGCGAGATGTGCTGACCGATGGGCAGACCCAGGATATCGGTGGGACGGGGCAAGGCGAAACGGTAGACAGTGACATTGTGGGAGATGTCGTTCTTCTCCTTCAGGGTGAAGTGCTGGAAGTCACCGGGGTTGAGGACCTTTCTGGGCTCTAAAGAAATTGTTGGGACATGTCAGAAGACCGCAAGTAAAGTCATACGATCGGCGACTCCTGTACGTACTGTTGCTGAAGACCTTCCAGCCGACCAGGACTGCGGCCAGAGCGACGGCAAAGGGGGTCAATTCCTGCTTGAAGAAGAAAGTTCCGGCGACAAAGAGGGCCGAGGGGATGAAGGCCCCGGTAATGTTGTCGGGGGAGAAAGCGCTGTTTTGCGACAACTTTTGTTAGCCACCCGTCAATCGCGGAGCGAGTGGCACGCGCACATACCTCATGTTGGCAATTACTCCAGCAACCCCTAGGGAACTTGAAAAGGAATAGAAAACAGAAAAGGAGCAAAGGGGAGGAATGAGGGGGAAAGAGGGAAGAGGAGGAGGAGGGAGAGGTAAGTAATGAGAGGGAGAGGATGTGAGGAGATGAGGGAGAGAGTCGGGTTTTGTGACGGTAATTTTCGGTGTCGGTCACGGGAAGACAGTCCCGATCGGGCCACTGGATCGGCTTATCGATAAGTTTGTTGAGGCAAAATCAATTGATTATCGATGGAGATAATGATTAAAGTACAAAGGAAAGGAATATGAACTGCCGTCATGGATCGATCATAACAAAGATTACCATAGAATAATCAACAGATATCATGGAAATATTAATTACACCTCCGACGTGCGGAGAAGTCTCACACAGTCAGCATGTGAACAAGCCAACTCATATAGTGCGCGGAATCAGTCCCGTTGGGGATTTGCTTTCCTGGGGTAACCATTCCCGTCTTCGTTCACAATTCCCTCGCTGTTCTTCTTTTTCCTATCTCGACAAATAATTCCGTCCTTCTTAGCTAGCTTAACTGATCCTTCAGTGGAGCCCATCGACTGTCCGCCAGTCTAGTCATTCCTTTTTTTCACCCGGTCTCATAGACACATCTAAACCGGCCGACGAAAAGCCATGGCTTCCGAGGAACCTCCGGCCTTCAACCTGACCGAGGTTGATCGTCAAGTCCTCGCGCAGACCGACGAGGAGTTTGTGCTTCATGACTGGGAGGATCTCAAGTCCATCATCGGTAGGTGATTTACACAATTCAAAAACCCCCTTGGATGGTTATACATACAGTAGAGTCAGAGGCAAAGAGAGAGAGGAAGAGAGAACTACTTACTCCTACTATCCTACCCCTCACATGCTCACCTTCCCTCCCCCGCGCCCTCCTACCATCCCTCCATCCATCCATCCATCCATCCATTCCTCGAATCCATCTCGATCATTCCATCCATCCATCAACCAATACCCAATGGTTCCGCATTCCAGTCCCTGACTCTAAACTCTCTCTCTCTCTCTCTCTCTTCCCCTTTACCCCGCAACCCAACCCAACCCAACCCAACCCTCCCTACCTACACCTCCTCCTAACTAACCCGATTCCCCAACAGCACGCAACGATCTCGGCATCCTAAAACGGAAACCCTCCGATCTAACCCGCTACCTATCCTGGTCACATAAAACCAAGCAACAATACGGCTCTATCACAAACTACATCTGTCAGAAGCGTCTAGGCTGGACTGATACTATCCCCTCTTCCCCATCTTCCTCATCTACTACTACCACCCCATCCACATCCACCCCAACTTCCTCCATCACCACAAGCACAGAAACCACCACCTCCAGCACCTTCCCCTACAAAAACCCCATCCCGTTCGCAGACCCATCCGATTACAAGATCTTGCGCAACGACTGGCCCTACGGTCTTGCGCCGGGGATCTCGCATATTGTAGTGTGGTTGCGGACCCCCGTGGAAGTCAAGGAAGAGAACGGGGACGTGACGGATGAGTCGCGGGCGTTGATCGAGGCGTTTGTGCAAAGGACGTTTGTGGATGCGGTGGTGAGGGATGAAGGGGTGAGTGAGGCGGAGGCGAAGGATCGGGTGCTGTGGTTTAAGAATTGGGCGGCGTTGCAGAGTGTCAGGAGTTTGGAACATGTTCATGTTCTTGTTAGGGATGTGTCGGAGAGGTTGTTGGTTGAGTGGACCGGGGAGGAAGGGGTCAAGCGGTAATTCTGTTGCAGCTGATGTGAGGATTTGATATGAAGGATGGGGGTAGTAAAGACACAGATAGATGAGTGGAGGAGCGAAGACATCATTTACGAGATAGATCAAGACAGACGCAATTGGATAAAACGCCAATAGAACTTGGAAAGAAGAACATAAGATTGGGAATCTCGAATCAATCGAAAAAGAAATCGACCGGACCTGTAGCGTACATAAAAGAGGCGGCAGTATAAACTAAGAAAGCCACACAAGTGTCACCATTCATCGTGCGCTTGTCTTAAATAACATCAGAAGGGAAACTAGATAAGAACAGAAAAGAAGCCCATCAAATCATATACGCCTGCAACCCAACATCCCAGGTCATCATTAAAGCAGCAGCACATCAGTTCGAACTACCACGGCGCTATTTTCACGACTTCTGCTCCTCCACGAACTTCAAGGCTTCTTCTCTCGACACAACGTCAATCGTACTAGCCTTCTGCCGGAAGCTGACGCCGTAGCACTTCTCGGCCACGTGTAACATCTCGGGTCGGAAAGTGGTGCAGATGAATTGGCCGTTGGTCGAGTCGGAGATGGACTTGAGCATCTGGGCAACGGCAGTTCGGTACTGGGCGTCGAGGTTGGCGTCGATCTCGTCGAACAGGTAGAAGGGGGCGGGATCGCAGGCTTGGATGGCGAAGACTAGGGCGAGGGCGCAAAGACCTAACGACGGGTTAACAGGGAGGATTGATCGATTTATAAACGGTGGGCACTCACTCTTTTGTCCACCACTGAGCTGCTGGATACGCTGCTGTTCATCATGCTTGCTGTTGAAACTGACACTGATGCCAACTCCGACGTAGTTCTCGACGCTCTCGCGGGCCTCCTCGTCCTCGGAGTCGACTTCGTCGGGTTGCCGAAGAGCGCGATCAGTCTTCCGCTGGATGATCAGACGTCCACGGCCAGCGGGGACGAGCTTCTCGAAGACATTGGCAAACTCGCGGGAGACCTGCTTGAAGGTTCGTTCGATGGCCTCGTCCTTTCGCTGGTCGAGAACGTTGATGAGGTCGTCGATGGATTTCTCGGAAGCTTCGAGTTCTTCTCTTCGGCTTGTCAGCGCCTCTCGCTGCTTGGTGAAGTTGTTGTATTGCTCAAACGCCTTCTTGTTGACATGGGAGTACTTCTTGAGACTCTCATTGACCTTGTGAAGCTTCTTGACCACGGCATTGGAATCCGTGTTCTTGTATTTGGTGAAAGCCTCGTCTGGGAGGACTCCCAGGTCACGGATATTGGAAGCGCACTCAGCGGCTTGCTTCGTCAAGGCAGCCTTCTTCTGCATGCTCTTCTCCATGCGCCGCTGGTGCTTCTCGATGGACTTGGCCAGTTCTTCCAGCTCTCGCCGTGTCTCCGCATTCCTTTGTTGCAGGTCGCCCACGCGAGCGTTGGCCTGATCGATGGACTCGTCAACCTGCTGGAGACGCTGGCCGAGTTTCTCTAGTGCCTTATGAAGGCGCTTCATTTCGCGCTGAGTCTCCTTCAGGTTGCCTTGGCTGTCGTCGTCTGTCAAGTCCATGTCCTGGCCGACAAGCTGGTCAAGGCGCGGGTTCAGGTTCTCGCGCAATTCGACCTCGAGGATGGATTTTCTTCCCTCGAGCTCACTGCGCTGGCTGGAAAGCTCCTGGTACTGTCGCCGAAGATCTTGAGCTGTGTTGTTGAGCTCCTCTAACCGCGCCTCTTCTTCATTGCTGAGCGCTTTCTGGAAAGGCGATGACAGTTCCGCCTCGAACGCGCCAACCTGGTCAGTCACCGCTGCCAGGTTGCCTTCGATGTTGCGAAGCGCCCGTCGCTTCGCATCAAGGTTGTCATTCTTCTTCTGCAGAAGGTCGCGCTTGGCCCGTAGCTCTTGCCGCATAGGTCCACTGCTGTTTTGTACCTGGTGTCTCTGTTGTTCCAGCTTCTGCAGCTCGCCGACCGATCTCGTGATGAGCTGGTCCAGCTGCTCGAGCTCCTTTCGAATCTCAGAACCACGGTTCTTCTTGGTCTCATACTCATCCCTCCACTTAGTGAGGTTCTTCACTGCATCGAGGCGGGACTGTCGTGAATCGTGGAAACCACCGGTAAGGGCACCTCTCTTATCCGAACGGTCTCCCTCAGGAGTGATCGCATTGACACCGTGACTGCGGGCATATTGAGAGGCGACTTGAAGGTTCGGGCAGATGATGGTCTTTCCAAACACGTGAACAAATGCCTTCTCATATTTGGAGTCGTACTGAAGCTTCTCGATCATAGGAATCGTGTCACTTGCCCTGGGCATGTTGATGGGTCGAGATCGTAGTCTGTTCAGGGGCATGAAAGTAACTCTGCCAGCCTTCTCCTGCTGGAGGATCTCGAGCACCTTTGTGGCGGTTTCATCCGTGTCGACGACATAGTGGAACAGACTCTGGCCCGCTGTGACCTCGACAGAGGTCCGGTACCTATCACTAACTTCGAACAGCTCCGCTAGCGTGCCGTACACTCCCTCGAGGTTGTACTGGCGCTTGATTCTCCGGACAGCAGCAATGCCACGGCTCGTATTGTGGTCCATCATCTGGGACAAATTGCGCTCGGCACGCTCCACTTCGTGGGAGGCATTCGACAAGATCGAATCCAGCTTGGCTTCTTCTCTCCACAATTCCCTAGCACATTGTCAGCTCATCACATTCAAGGCACAGCAAACGGCTACAAAATCACGGAATGCATACTTTCTCTGATCCATCAGCCGGTCTCTCTCATCCTTCGCAATTTGAACTTGCTGCTCGACAGAATGGATCGTGTCGCCTCTGCCATCAATCTGCTTGCGCAAGCGCTCGCTCTCCGGTTCCAGAAGTGCTATGTCGTTTTCGAGTTCCTTGATATCCTCCTGTGTCTGTGCCAATACACCTTGGACAGAAGTAATAGAAGCGTAGTTATCCTTGATCGCTGCTTGCAGCCACTTGTCGCGCTCACTCTTGTTACGGAAGCGAGAGTTACGACCTTGCTTGGCATATAGTCGCTGACGGGCGGTCTCTGCCTCGGTAAGCTGCGTCTTGACAGTATCCTCCCGATCCTTGGCGGCGTTGAACTGGGGCATCAATTGCTGCAGCTCTTGCTCACGTTCTTGGATGGCACTCTGAACGGCCTTCAGGTCTTCGTCGCGGCGTAGCTTCGAGGCTTGAGCGGCGACTTGATTGTCCGATTGTGATTTTGCCTGCAGTTCCACCTGTGCAAGGGCCTTGGAGGCCTCACGACGCT